GTCCGGTGTGGGTCTAACTCATCCAATTCCAAGTAGAACTTTTGCGAGGTCTTAGACATAAAGAACCACTTTTCATCAATGTGCACCACATTACGAAAAGATTTAAACGTAGGGTTAGAAGGTATACTATTGGGGTCTACTTGGTCTAAACAAAACTTCAGCCTTTGCATTTTGTTTGTTTCACTTAAAAAGGGCTTAACAGCATTTGAATGACTTCTAAACATACCTCTTTTAAGGCATAGATGAATGGTGGACTTAGACATACCCAATGCAGAAGCTAATGCTCTAATGGTAGTTCTTTTGCGCAATGAGATCTGTTGAATAGCTCCCCCCTCAATAACCACCCTTTTCCTGCCCGCTTTGCTTGCTAACTTGTTTCTAACATCAATGGCAACCCCATCTTTAAGTTGTTTCCTTGTTGTGCTCCATATACTACTCACTGTTCTTCTTGAGACGTTATAATCTGTAGCTAACTTGTTGATTATGCCTCTCTGAACTGTGTACTCTCCAGTGAATATTTGCTTTGAATGCTTCAGGAGTTCATCAATTATTTGTTGCTTGGTAGTGTTAGAGAGCCTTTTGTACTTTGATTGGAGGTTTGGTGGTAACCCTTCTGCTTCTGCTTGCAGGTATGTATAAGGGGGAGAAGTTGTAGGCATGCTTGGAGACAAAAAGGGTGTTGAAAGTATCAGTAGAAGAAAATAAAGATTGAGAAAAGATTTTAGAAGGGCTACTGAAAGTAGCAGTAGAAGAAAAAAGGAGGGCAGTGGGTTCTAAGAATAGAAAATTTCTTCTATTTATAGATGTTGATTGGCGGCACTTTTTAGAATTTGGTGGAAATTTTTTAGAGGGAAGTGTAAATAATTGCTCCTTTGGTTAGAAAAATATTGGAGGGAACTGTAAAAAAATCTCCTTATGGTGTAATGATTAATGAATAGTCATTTTCTCTCATCCTTACAATATAATTGTACTCTTTTAGCTTTTTTAAATTGTCTACAGTTGTTAAATCATTTCCTACCCTGTAATTTGTAATGGAGGGGCATTTATGGAAAGTCAATTCACATTTTACTCCCCCTTAAAAATGAGCCTTGGTCAAAACGAGAAATTAATAATAGGACGGAGGGAGTATTTTTTAATAGTGGACATTAGTTTTAAAATATTAAAATTAATTAGATACTACTGTATAAGATTTCCATCGTTAAAGAGTATTTGACCACTTTTGATTTTTTTTATTCTCAATTGATAAATTTTGACCCTAAATTAAATAAAAAAGATATTAGATATTGATACAAAATTAGTTTATTAGATTTATTATATACTTTCTTCGTCCCGTTTTAAATCGTCTGTTTTGACTTTTGAGCATATTTAAGGAAAATAAAAAAAGAGTTAATTTTTCAAAATTGTCATTACTTTTTCAGAGGAGTGACGATGAATGAGAAGATAAAGTGGAGAAGAGTGACTTATTTTGGAGATAGTTTAGTTATTTTACTCATAAAAGTTTACGAACATGCAACTTATTTTGGGACGGATAAAAAAGGCAAAAATGCAATTTAAAATGGGACAGAGGAAGTAAGATATTTTCAAAATATTACTCCGTATTTTATCTAATTAATATAAAATATATATTCTATTTAATTATAGGTCAAATATTAAAAATTGTTGACCGAAAATTCAAAACTAGACAAATATTCTGGAACAGGGGTAGTATTTAAAAAAACTAAAATTGTATGTTGAGATTGTACTAAATTAATACTAAGTAAAATAAGAAATGTTAGAATATAAAATAACTGTTCCTAGGCAAGCTTGTGGTTGAGTTGGTTCCTTGACATGGTATCGGAGCCTAGTTGACTAAGAGGTCATGTGTTCGAAACTCAGCGCCACCCAGTTTTAAAAAAATTAAGGTTTCACATGCAATGCTCGAAAAAGACTACGCTTGCACGTGAGGGGGCGTGTTAGAATATAAATAAGGACCATGCTACACTTACACCAACAAATATACCCTATTTGTACACCATAGGTTTGCACAAACATTTCGATGGTTTACACCGACACAAGTGTTGGTGCGTTAATAAAAAATCACACGGACACAAATGCTGGTGCGTTTAACAAAAATTAGTTTTACACCAATACAAAATGTTGGTGCAAAACTGCGAGGTACAAATTGGGGTACAAATCTTGAGGTACACATAGCATAATCCTATAAATAACTGTTACTGGGCCACAACCATAAGCTTGAGCTTGTGGTTGAGTTGGTTCCTTGACTAGAAACATGATTTAATTTATAGATACGAAAGCTAATATAGGATACTCCGTATATGTTTGCGTTTTGAGGTCGAAAATTAGCCAATAGGGTAAGGCTTTGAGTGTGGTCTAGTCTTATCTACGGGGGACCTGTTTGGTTTCTTATATTTATGTGTTTGATTTTTTTTTGTGTTCTCTTTTTTATTTACTTTTATGTCCCGTTTGGTACACGGAATTGATGGAATTGAAATTGAATTAAAATTGAAATTGTATGAAATTTAATTCCATAGAATTGAATTCATCAATTCCAATTCATTTTTTTAGTACCAATTCCAAATCTACATAATTTTTGTGCTACCAAACACCAAAACTGGAACTGAAGTCCTCAATTCTAATTTCATAGTTTGAATTCCGTGTACGGAATGGGGCATTAGGGTCCATTTGGTATGTGGAATTGACGGAATTAGAATTGAATTGGAATTGAAATTTCATGGGATTCAATTCCATAAAATTGAATTCTGCCCATTCCAATTCATTTTTTACACTATTAATTCCAAATCTACATAATTTTTGAGCTACCAAACACCGGAATTGGATTTGAAGCCCTCAATTCCAATTCCATGATTTGAATTCCATGTACCAAACAGGGCCTTACAGTATTTGTTTTTTTTCTTTCTTTCTCAATTTTTTTGGGATTTAGAGCTTGAATTTCCTGGATGCAGCTTGTGTATTTGAAGGATAAAATTTGCGTATAGACATTCTACTTTGTGTAATTTTATTGAATTTCTTATTGTTGTTGGCTTGGGCCGTTACAATACTATTCATGACTTCATTGTTTTTGCTCTCTAAAAGATTGTACAATGCAATATTTTGAAAATATATATTACTCCGTATGTAATACATTTTAAATATCGGTGAGGTTCTAGTGATACCGGAATTTGGTGACACTATAATGTCACTGTCATTTTGAAACACTTTCAGTGCTCCATACGTAAAATTAATGGTTCCTACCCTCCCTAACCTACCTCCTAAACCCCTCACCCTACCCCCGCCCATGCACCTCCACCCTAACCCCGCCGTAAGCCCCCCCCCTGGCTATTATGCATTGCATAATAGCCACACTATGCATAATAGCCACCATAATTTACTGCTATTTACAAACTGAAATAAATCTTAAAAAAACGCAACAGTTCAAATGACATCTGATTTGAATTGATGGTGTAAATATAGCGGGGTGGGTTAACCGGGTTTGACCTGGACACACTCGACCCGTAATATAAAACACACAACAAGAACACAAAGTATGACCTAGACCGGGTAAATCTCCTCAGTCCGAATTATATTTCTTACTCTATCTCAAGAGTGAACTTTAGTGAGAGAAAAATTGGATCCCCTCCTCTATCCAATATCATCATATTTATAGAGGAGGATTTGTGACCTTCCCCTGTTCATCCATGGACAAAATAGGAAGCTCGTGGGAAGGTCACTGTAGATAATAGGAACACTGTACAATCATAGAATTTAGCAACTATAGGCCAAGACATGTACTGTTCAATCAAAGACTAAAATGGATATTCTCAATCCAAATCAACCCTGCAAAATGACAAACATCCCTTTCACTGTGTGCCTCGTGATGGATGAGCGGCGGGGTGTCCCCCTGACCTCTGACGTGGTTCACCATGCCTAATAGACTGAACCAATGTTAGCCAAGTAAAGTGATATGACCGGTCACCTTCTCTCAAAAGTTACCCAGTCATTCTTTGTGCTTAACCCGTCTCTGGTCTTCTAAAATGTCCTTTGTAACATTAGGCGACATTTTGGCTATCGCCCAAAAATGTGACCGGTCACTTTTTTAGTGGAAGTGACCGGTCAACTTTTGACCTGTCCCAATCGAAAAGTTAACCTCATTTGGTGATTGATAAAAGTGACCGGTCATATTTTGACCTGTCCCTTT